CGGCAGCTGAATGCCCTGTTCGTTGTCTGAAGGGTTGTACGGCTCAGGCACGCGTCGTTAATACCTGCCTTGGTCACAGAGTTTTGCGCCAGCTTGTTCTTCGGGCACGAGTCGAACTCGGCTCTGAGGCGCTCCACCTGCTCGCGACTGACTGGAGTCGACATGCTGCTGCTGCTCGTGGGGCTCTTGTCACAACTGCGACCACTAGTACTAGAGAAGGTACGAAGAGCAGTTACGGACGAGGGAGCTCCTGCGATCACTCGCGCAACTGAGTGTCCCGGTGCACAGGCTGCGACTGGTGCAAATAAAATAAACCGACAAGCACTCATTCCACTGTCGGAAAAACAGAATGCAGCATGCAGAAGCACAGCACGTCAGCATGCAGCAAAAACAAAACTCAACACTTGAGTACGAGTCTTGACAAAAGTACTTCTTGCACAAAAATGTGTTTCGTCTCTTGAAGTTTGAATCAATCAATTTTTTGAATCGAATATCGCTGATCGTGACGTGACGAAAAATGAAACAAAACACGAAAACACGTCACGAAAGTGCAAAGGGACTTTCCCGTACTCAGAAGCAGCGCTAAGGGCCTGGTCAGACTGCGGCAAATTTTGGTTGCCTGAAGAAAAACGAACAGCGTCCAGAATTTGAATCGCGATCACACTACACATGTGGGGAGAATGAAAATTCAAACTTCATTTCGAGCGTCAAGTGGTAATCTCCACGAACGACGTCAAATTCCTTCATAGTCTGTGGGCCAAGTGACAAAAATGTGAATTCTCGTTCCGAGTAAGAGGGCACCGCAATTTTTTTGGCCCAGTCGATAGATGGACTGGCATACATTGAAAACCCGTTTGTTGTCATTCCTGAATTTGTCCAAGGGTTGCACGGCGAGTGAAATACAAATCAGCACCGGTTGCCATGGTAACCAGAACCTAAAATTGGATTTTCTGGCTAATTACAATGTTTTTGGTATTATTATTTTTCCACAGGGTCATATATCCAGAGTGCCTCCTTCCCAGATTCAACTGGAAAGAGAAAAATATGATATAACATGAAAAATAAAGAAAAACAAAATGCCCAATACGTCCATATTGTTCATGTACACAGACGTGTGCAAGAAGACCGCGTGTGTCGAGCACAATACTGTAACTACTTCGAAACATCATTCGAGTCATTGTATACCATTTTATCAGGTCATAATAGGACTGGCTGTGGCATGCAGGTACTGTACATTGCAGAATACTATGTCTGATCTAAGAATATCTCAGACCGTTCAATACAAAAATGGTGTACATTATACAGATATAAGGCAGAACACACAGCCGCATTTATGCATTGCATAGTTATTATATGGGTTGCAGAATAATCTGAAAGTCCAGAGAAAGGATCACAACACTGTGACCATCAGCACAGGTCACTGACAGACCAGACCTGAAGGACCGCGTGACCCCAGAAGACTACGTTTGTTGCAGCTGTGTACGAGGGAGACTTCGTCATCATAACACTGACTTATGTTGCCAAAAAAGGTCGACCTGTAGAGAATAATCAGGTCACAGAAAATACACAATTCCAATTCCAATGATCACCCAACGTGTGGACAGAACTAGTTCGTCCTCTGTGGACTCATCAGCGCAGCACAGAGGAAATGAGGCCGAAGCCGATGGCAATGAAAAATAATCGCAATGATCATTCCCGTGCATTTTTATATCTCCCACATTGATTTTAGTCCACATGTGATATTGATACTGAACACTGGGCAAACATCAGAAGGACTTGAATTGGGCATGATGTACAGTCACGTACATGTTCATGATTGTACAATGTGCATCACTGAACTCTAATGAACACTCAATCTTCAATCACATTATACATACCTGTCAGGATGGGCATTCTTTTTCTTATTCATCCTCGTCTTCACTGAGTTCTGCAGTTACTTGAAGCTCCAGTGGTTGCCCATTCCCACACTCCTGGCCCGAGTGAGAGCACTTGCAAGCATCCGTGCAATTGAGGTGCTGTCTCCGGCAGGAGCAATGTCCGTGCTTGCAGCCTGTCGTGCAACCGCATGAAACAAATTCCATCAGGCTCAATGGTGCTGGTGCCAAGCTGAGCCAGTCCACTTCCAAACCACCGCCAGAATCAATGGTCCACCCTTGACCAGGGCTATGCGGTGGTGGGACATCCGCGGAAGCTTCCAGAGCACGGTGCCAGATACTGGCCTGGTAATTTGCTCTTGCAGCATGCTTGCGCAGCGCATCTTGGCAAGGAGGAAGGGAGCTGGATTGCGTCGAGCGAGAGCAGAACATCTGGTATCGCACTTCGTTGATAGATGTGGCGGTGTTGAAGCCGTATATACCGCAAGTGAACTGCTCGATGCAAGCGAAAATGTCAGCTGGTAGTGCGTCAAATGATGCACTGAGTGCTGCCATAGCCTTTCGAGCCAGCTCGCCTTTTGGGGTTTGCTTGGTGATCAGCTGAAATGCTAGCTTCTTCCCTCTGCCACTGAAGGCACTGGTTGTGTCACAACCTGTATAGGCATGCATCCCCACCATGGCTTCGCAAACAGGGGCACTAAGCTCTCGTGTAATTCCTGTAGCATTGTTTATGGTAGTTAACCTCGCGCGCAAACATTCCAGAGACGGATTGACCAATTGCAACTTGGACCTTTTCGTCTTTTCTGACGTTTACTGCGTATAACATGTACATAACAGCTTCGCTGCAGCGTGTGCGTATTCACACCTGCTTGTGGACTGGACTTCAATTCTTCCGGCCAGGTTGCTGGCGTCTCTCCTTCCCACAAAATATGCAGCCCTTCATGCCTGGAGCTACGACGGGCGCGGCTAGTGCGGCGCGCGTGCTGGGGCGGCGCTTGGCTTCTGGCTCTATCGACTCCGGCACAGACAGTTCTTCCGAATGGCTAGATGAGGGGTACTCTGCCTTCGTCGGAGGGTTATATTCGTTATTTTCTGGTAACATTTTCTGTGGAAGCCTCCGTTTTCAGGCCAAACATCACTACGACATAACTCCCTGAGCTCAGCTAAATTTTCTACGGCAACAGCTTCACTAGTGCATATTTCACACACCTTCTTCCACGTTGTCTGGGTGAAGGGCTTCACCTCCTCACCGCACTCCGGAACTTGAATGAGACACTTTAAACTCATCACGACGCTTACTTCTAGTGCTACTTGACCACAGACATACTAGTACAAACTGAAACCAAAAACCAATCTCGAAATGAAAGTTCAAACTGAGAAGGAAGATGCCAAGTATAGTGGGTGCACGCCTGCACCGTGCTGCAGTGCAGAGAGAAAGAATTGTGGGTCCGGGTGCACACCTGCAGAGAGTGTGCAGTGTACCAGATCGTACCAGATCACGACTTGACATGACAGGTAACACTGAATTCGTGTACTTTCGTCTATTCTGGTGCATAATCACATTTCACAGCACCACACACAACGTGCATGCACTGATGAATGCATACAAAACAATGGCCGCCGAGAGAGAAATTTTCAACATGGAAAAGCCGATTTTTGAATACCTTTCAGAAAGTTGTCAGAGTGACAACAACCGGAATCCTGCTCAGTAAGGTATCTAGAGTAGACGTGGCCAATAAAATTGCGGTGCCCAAAAGTCGGAACGAGATTTTTCTAGGAGGCCTTTTTTCAGGTTTGGCCCACGGACTATCACCGTGGGGATCGCCAACACCTTCAGTGCAATCCTTGCAACCATCCTTAGGAGTTTGGTTGTTGTCCGTGGCCAATTAGCAACTCGATATCGAGATGAAAAAATCAGTGATTATCAGCGTCAATGGCGTATCAGCGTCAAATCCTGTTTGGAGCGGAAAAGCGTGGTCCGTTCTTGCTTTTTTTTTGGAGCGTCAACTCTCGCTTTTGCCGCTCTGGCGGCAAGTTACTATGGAGATTCGGATTATAATCCTAGGATTATTTCGATTTTGCCGCAGTCTGACCAGGCCCCCAACCGGTGGCTCGGAAAATGGCTTTATTTTATTGATAGTTTTCATTATAATAATTATTATCCTCTTCCTGATTTAAAAAAAAAATAGTGTATGCATAGAGAAAAAATAAGCACAAGATCCTGAATCGCCGCGGCAGCAAAACACACAGCCTCGGAGAACGACAAGATGATTGTTACAATGAATGTAACAACACCCGTCGGGCCAAGCTAAAGGACCTACATGTACATCCCTGCTCCAGGACCCGCACAGCCCCATGGCCGCCAATAAGATATCGATATTGAAACCGTGACACACCCAGAAGTCAGGGGTGGGAGGGTGGGATACACTGCACTGGTCCAACGAAACGCCACTCGTACTCCGCGGCGAAGTGACAGGAATGCGGTCTTGGACAACATTTTTTGCTGAAGCAGGAAAAAAAAAAAATTCACGGTTCGCGTGAGACTCGGCCAAAGGCCCAGTTTTCCGCATCCGCAGGAACGCCACCACCCTCTTGGATCAAGGCGCAGATGCAGCTCCTAAACGGTGGGAGGTGAGTAGATCAGACCCACCACAAAGTGGTCAAAGACCGAAATCCCATTCACTGCATCCATGTTTCCCTCGTGCCAGGCCACGAGTTCCCAATTAACTGTGGGTCGCAGCACGGCTGGAAAAAATCCTTCCGCTTCCAAGCAGGACTTGAACCTGGTACCCTCTGTTTCTCAATCATGGTCTTAGACCATCCCACTATGCCTGCCTGTGCAGGAAGTTGCAGGGAAATCCTAAAAAATGATCTGAGTGCGATTACATGAGCCCAAATGTTCAAGTAGCAGTAGCGTTGGCGTTGGAATGCGCGTGACCCTAGAACCCTCTTGAATAATAGCCCCCGGCCCTACAAGGACAGTTTGAAATGCAAGCCCCCGTCCACAGTCTCGAATAAAAGCCCCGACAACTACCAGTATTCGCAAAGCATGGGCACGTGACCAGCCAGTGCCGTGTACTATTGAGTATTGTCATGACCCGACCCCAAGGGTCAGTCAAAAGCCTGCGTTGCGAACAACACCAAAATAGGACCGCCACGAAGTGTGAGCAAGACCCAGAATCCCAAGTGCACAATATATGCACGCCATCACTCAACAGCCCACCAAGAGTTCCGTTTCCAAGGACATACCTTGTAGATAGGTCAGAGGTAAAGAGAAGAAAGAGGAGATCAAGATTGAAGCAGTACCGGAGCGAGAGGACGAACGTATAAAAGACAGGGACTTATATTCATAACAATAACTAACAACAACCAATCAGAGCACACATACTGTACTCACTAATCATATTAGACGGCGGGACAAGGGGACAAGTAACGGACAAAGCTAGATTCATAATGATTGAACGTCTCATAACGGCGGGATACAACATGCAAGAATGGAAGAAGATA